AGGAATCATTGTGAGCAAGGAAGACACCTAAAAAGGATGGTGATCAGCTTCTCCTAGTCGTGGTAAACAGGGTGTTGTCATCCCACCTCAGTTGAGGGCCAGAGGTCAGAAAGAAGTGGCAACTCGGTAAGCAGAATTATGTCCCACTTGCCTGGAGGAACGGGCCCATTTCCTGCTCCCGAGGGATTGTCAGATATCTGCAGGAGTTTATGAGTAAGAGCTGATTGTCCTACAAGAACTCTAGCCATTCGGTACCACTCCTTCATCTAATATTTACTGAGCAAGTACTACATACCATGCACTCTGCTTAGTCCATGGAGTACAGTTGTGAAGAAATTATTATTTTCAAATGTTGTAAGTGCCGTTGTGACAAATAAAATACTGTAAGTAAAATACTGTTGTAAGTGCTGTTGTGACAAATATATACAAAAATGCTTATGCAGATGTTAAAAATGTGACCCTGACTTTCCTCTGCTGCTTGGATGTCTGGTCGGTTATATTGTCATCTACATTAAAGATATTCTGATGTGCTGGATGAAAGGGTAAAGCCAGAGCCATTTGCTATTGTGGCACCATTTGCCTAGCAGGCCTATGACCTGGTTACACATGACTGCCATGTTACTCTTCTGAGCTTATGTCCTCAGGACTAGGAATAACTGGAAGCAAGAACAGAACAAACTGTTCCCTATAGCCATAGGTAAAAGAAAACATTGGAATAAACTGCAGCCCCTGTTACAATGTCCTAACAGCCCAGGGGTTACACAACATCAACCTCCTCACCCTTTTTAATCCAATTATAATCCAATAAAAGCTCGAAGCCCCACCCCTCAGTGCTGGTGTGTACTCCACACCTGGCCCCTCTCCTTTCTTGGAGAGTGAATAAAAATCTTATTCTTTGCATTTTCTTCTCTTTGTGAATTCTTTCACAGCCCACATCACTGACCACCCTAACACTGGATTATGCTAACTCAGGTTGGTGAGGCTAGGCAGTACACTTACAGAACCCCCTCCTGACAGGGCTGGCTGTGAGTTGGAGTTGGCCAAAAGAGGACCTAGTGGTATTTGGAAGGTGTATGGGAGCCTCCTCAACTCCTCTTGGGAGATCTCTGTTGTGAGGTGCTGTGGCAGACAGATGCGCCTGCAGATAGATCCCGGCTAGTCCCCGAGACTTTAGTGACTCCTCTCTAATCATCCCACAATTCCCTCCCGACCTGTACTTCCCCAGCTCCTCTCACCTTGTAGTCTCATTTCTTTTTTTACAGATTATTTATTTGTTTATCTATTTTTGGAGAGAGGGGAAGGGAGAAAGAGAAGGAAACATCAATGCAAAAGAGAAACATGGATCAGTTGCCTCTCACACCTCTTGCATGCACCCCAACTGGGGACCTGGCCCACAACCCAGGCATATGCCTTGCCTGGGAATCAAACTGGCAACCTCTTGCTTCACAGGCTAGGACTCGATCCACCGAACCACACCAGCCAGAGTTGAGTAGTCATATTTCTAATAACTCCCTTATTTCTGCAATGTGTGTGGTGGCTCTACCCCCCTGAATGAACTCTGACCGATAGACCTCATCATAAAGAGAGATATACAAGGAGGTGATTAAGAGTGTGGGCTCTGGATTCAGACAGCCAGGGGTGAAGATTAGGAAAGATAATTCACAGGCAGCTTTTTAACACAATGCATGCCACACAGCTACCACCCAATAGACATTATATAATAGGTAATGGCTCCTTCATCTGGGCCCTCAGTGCCCAGGACATAACTTCTATTTATTTTTGGTAGACTTCCTGTTGGATTTTCACTCTTCTTAAGCTATTGTAGCCAATCCAGTAAATAATAAAGTACTTCTTGAAGTGGGGCAAGACCAGATGGAGGAGGGAAGGGCATGTCCAGTCAGCTTCCCCTTCTTTCCTGTATGGAGATTCCAGTGTGCCCCTCTACAGCAGGGAGGATCAGTGCTCCGCATCTCCATGGCTCCCTGTGTGCCTGCCCGTGCCCTCCAACCTCTTCCCTGTGCTTTCTCTCCCAAGAGCCGGTGCCTGCAGCTCTTTTTTTGCAGGACTGTTTTAAGCCCACTGGAGCTCTTTCCCTTCACAGGAGGAAAGCCTGGGACTTTATGTCCAGGTTGTACCTTCACTGACAGGTGGCTGTGAAATCCCAGCTCTTGGCTTGCAGTTAGGCTTATCCTTCAGAGCTCACTGGGGACAGCTAAAACAATGCCTGAGAGGTCCCCTGCTGAGCTTCCTCCCCTTTCCTGTCGTGCCTCTTCCACTCTGCTCACGGGTTTCCCCTTCAAGTACTTCCTCAATAAATCACTTGCACAAGGATCCTTATTTTAGAGTCTGTTTCTGGGAAGCCCTTCCTGAGACATGCAAATAAATCCTCTGGGGGGAGGGGTGTGTGGAAAAAAAAACAAAAACCTTCTCCCCCTCATCTCCAGAGGGAAATTGCAGAGATGGTGGAGGAGGAATGTCTGATGTTGAGGTAGCTGCCCCTCCACTGGGCTCCACTGTCTCCAAACAGGTATTCCTGGGACGGCTCACAGACCAGTTGGGATCAGCTCAGGAGCATCCAAAATGGGACTTGGACAGGTGGAGAGAGGGAAAAGTACACCAGGCAGAAGTGAGAACCTAGTTCTGCCATTAACTAGCTAGGTGACAGAGTTAACTAGTAAAGTAGCTGTAAAATGGGAATGATACTAGTTCCTTCCTCATAGGGCTGTGGTAAGGATTAAATGAGGAAATCCATGTAAAGATCTTAATCTAGTGCCTACCATATTGTAAACACTCAATCTATGTTAGCCATTATCCCTATCCTTTATTTTCTCATATTATTTTGTGTGCGCTTCTGTTTCACCTCAAATCATTGTCTTATATGTATATGTCTGTCTTCCACTTTATGCAGTGAGACTGTGAAATCGTCTTCGTGGGGTACTACATAAATTCCATGTGGCCTTACCCAGTAATTATGGATTTATTTACCAAAAATTTAGTAAATACTTGTGAAATTCATTAAACATAATTAACCAAGGTCAGGGGGTGGGGATGGGGAGAGGGAGACAGAGAGAAGAAGAAGAAGAAGAAGAAGAAGAAGAAGAAGAAGAAGAAGAAGAAGAAGAAGAAGAAGAAGGAGAGGGAGAGGGAGAGGGAGAGGGAGAGGGAGAGGGAGAGGGAGAGGGAGAGGGAGAGGGAGAGGGAGAGGGAGAGGGAGAGGGAGAGGGAGAGGGAGAGGGAGAGGGAGAGGGAGAGGGAGAGGGAGAGGAAGAGGAAGAGGAAGAAGGAGAAGGAGAAGGAGAAGAAGGAGATTTTCAGCCAAGCTGGAGGTGTAGGTAGATACATTTTGCCTCCTTGCACAACCAAAAGGACAACAACAAATTTAAAAACAAAAAATAACCAGAACTGCCAGAAAATAGAACTGTATGGAAGTCCCATAACCAAGGAATTAAAGAAGAAACACTCATTCAGTCAGGTGGGAGGGGCAGAGATGGGCAGCCAGGGTAGACAGAATGCACAAGGAGGAGGCTAGCAGATGGGTGGTCCCACAGGCAGTCCCACATTTGCATGTGGATAACCAGGAGGAACAACTGGGGAGAGAGACAAACCCTGCAACCTAGGGTTCTGGCTCTGAGAAATAAAGCCTCAAAACCTCTAGCAGTAAAAACCTGTGGGGGTTGCGGCAGGAGTAACTCCCAGCCTCACAGGAGAGTTCATTGGAGAGACCCACAAGGTCCTAGAATGTACACAAACCCACCCACCTGGGAATCAGCACCAGAAGGGCCCAGTTTGCTGTGAGTAGCAGGGGAAGTGACTGAAAGCTGGCCAAGAGCTGAGCAAGCAGTACTGTTTCCTTTTTGACACCTCCCCCACATGTAACACCACCAGGCAGCAAAGAGGGTTGCCCTGCCCTGATGAATACCTAAGGCTCTGCTCCTTACAATGTAATAGGCATACAAAGACAATATATATATATATATCCCAAGTAAAAGAACAGATCAAAGCCCCCAAAATAGAACTAAGCTATGAAAAGACAGCCAGAGGAGGAAGAAAAAGGAAGAGGATACGAAGAGTAGAAAAAAATTAATCTTTCTAAATGTGCTACTGCTTTCTTGATAAGCTTGTGTTTATTTCTCTTTCTATTTGTATTCTCTGCACATCACCCTTGAGTACAAGGACTCACATCTCTGAGAGCCCTTGTTTCTTACCCCCAGCATCCCCATCATCTAGCCTTATACTCATGTTCAAGGAAAAGGAATCAAGGTTAGTAATAGGAATACTAAGTTTAGAGTCAGGTACGTTTGGAGTTTAATCTTGGTTCTGGGTAATCTTCAATAAATCCTTAACTTCTCTAAGCCTCAATTTCCTCATCTGTAATATGGGGTTAATAAAATAATAGTACCTATCTTACAGGTTTACGTGTGGATTAGAAATAAGGTGTGAAAAGCCATTCACACTGTGTGTGAGACACAGCATGGGGTGGAGAGGGGGAAAGAGCTCCACACAGAGAAGTAAAACTTGCAGGTTTTAATGTTTCATGATTGGTAATAGCAGTCTCAAGGAGATCCCCAGAGAATCTGTTCTGACTTTAGAAGCACTTCCTGTGGACAATGGAGGGCCCCGCCTCATCATACTCTGGCTTGCTGATCCACATCTGCTGGAAGGTGGAGAGAGAGGCCAGGATGGAGCCTCCAATCCAGACTGAGTACTTCCGCTCTGGGGGAGCAATAATCTGCAAAGAGCAAATGTGGTGAATAAGGATCAGTCCCCAAGGGAATAGGCAGATGACTTGGGAATCATCTCATCACACTACTGGGCTGCCCCAGAAAAAGGACAGACTCCGTGGTCAGTCAGAAAGTAACAGGGTGAAACTTGTGATAGATTTGATGATTGCTCAAATCTTCACTACCCCCACCCACATAGGAAGAATGTAGTGTTCCACCACGTGACTTGGGGTTCAGTTCTGCATTTGCTTTGACCAACGAAATGTTAGCAGATGTGACCCAAACAGGAGCTTGAAATGTGCTTTAGGCATGCAGCTGGGCATACTCTCTTGTGCCTCTGCCAACTTCATGAAAAGAACTTCCTTTGGAAGTTGCTGGACCTTTAGCTTGGGTCCCATAATGAGAGATATGGACCTGAGCTGAGCTGATTTGATCTGCAGAGCTGACTAACCAAGCCTGACCTACATCAGCTGACTTCCAACGGACCTGCAGGTACATGAGCAATACATGCTAATTGTTATGTGCCCTATGATCTCATAGTTGCTTGTTACTCAGCAATAGCTGACTAATACAAACATCTACAGGGAAAGTACTGTACTGTTCTTGCCTGGAGTTGCATGCATGAGCAGCTCAGGTTGGACTCCCTCCATTCCTGAGTGTGAGCCAGTCTACTCAGACCCTGTCTTGAGCTATATCTATCAACAGCCACTTGCATTTGAGAAGTTCTTAAACTCATGCATACATTATTCATTCTTGTCACTGAGCTCAGCCTTTAGAAATTGTTTGTCCTGTCAGACACCTTTGACTTCCACCTAAAAGTAGATCCAGGACTGAGATTCTTTAACTAATTTCTTAGATTCTGAAGGCTCTAAGAATTCAGTGCTAGAACAATCCAGAAATTAAATAGATTATTTTGACTCTTTAAAATCTCCCTCTCTATTTCTTAATTTACAGAGGCCATGAAATTGCAGAATAGAAAAGGACTTTAGAAATTATCTTGTTTAGGCAGACAAAAGCCACCCCATCACTCCTTGAATAGATACCTGAAGGACTGGCACAGACACTAAGAAGGTAAGTCATTTTATTGCTGGGCAGTTCTAGTTGTGAGAAAACTCGGGGCTATCTTGGGCTAGAGGTCCTCAATCTCAGCCCCCCACCCCCACCCTATATTCCTTTTTTTCACATTCCTTGCTTCCTCTTCTGTAATTCTCCTACACAAATCCTGCTGTCCAATTTGGCTGGGATGCTGATACATGGAGACTCCCCACCCACCCCCAGCACCTTTGTTCACTTTATTTCCCCTGCATGGAGTGCCTTTTCCCCTCCTCTCATTTAAGTCACCCTTTGATCAATCATGTCTACTAATTAGATCCTAGACTCCTTGAGGACTGGAGAATACTATTAAACTCAGGTCAGTGGCTCACAAATTGGGATATGCATCAAATCACAGGTGTTCGTTTGTCATTGTAGGTTGTGGGACTACCACTACCTCAACCTCAGACCTGATGAACTGGAATCTGGGGGTGAGGCTAGGTGTGGTATCCTGACACACAGTTCTGGTCAAAAGCCACATGTGGCAGGCTTCAGTATCTTCAGGTGAGGAAGAAGCCCGTAGGTTCTCACCTGTTCTCTGGTGGCCTGCTTTGCTTCCCTGTGCTGAGCACAACCTCCTAGGCAGAAGGAAAATCTGGGGCAGCCCTTCCTTAGCAAAGAAGGTTCTTAGAATACTGACATAGAGAATATACTTCCTCAGATCAGGTCTACTCCCCAGAGAACAACTTTATTGTGACACTCTGTAACTTTCAACCTATTTGTTATCTCTATTCTATTCCCAACTCTTTCTAAACTCATTAGCAGCTAAGTTTCTAGAAGCCCTGAAAAAGGACTATGTCATCGATTGCTTCAGGATCAGAGACTTGGTAGAAGCAGTAAGAAAAGTGGACTCCTGTTCTGCCAAGGCCTGCGAGGTGAGAAACCCTAGTGAGAAGCAGTTCAGAAAGGGCTGTGGCTGAGCTGGGCCAACAGACTGCCCAGGAATCGAGGAATGTCCTGATGAATTGGAACCAACAGCCTGCCCCATGGCCAGACCTGATCTCTCTGAAAATTTCACCCTCCTTTGGGGTAACACCAAACTCCTTTTTAAAGTTTGAAGAAGCTGTAGTGTCACCTCCTTCTTTTCTTCCCCTCTATTCCTCTCCTCTTGATTTCCTCCTCGACCAGCTCCATATTCTCTTCACCCTAAATTCTTTCACCCCCTTCTTACATGATATCAGGTGGCTATGTTTGACAGCTCATACTAAGAGTGTTTCCGACTCATCCACACCCAAGGGATGTAACTCCACAAGGCAAAATGTCCCAGACCAGAATGATGCCGAACCCAGGAGACTGCTGAGCTACAGGCCTATCAGCTCCAATCTGAGCATCTCACAAGTAGACAGATCACTGTACAAAGAACAGGATGGAGGGAACTGGGTGAAGGCCCACCTTGATCTTCATGGTGCTGGGGGCCAGGGCTGTAATCTCCTTCTGCATCCTGTCAGCAATGCCAGGGTACATGGTAGTACCCCCGGAGAGGACATTGTTGGCATATAGGTCCTTGCGGATGTCAATGTCACATTTCATGATGGAATTGTAGGTTGTTTCATGAATTCCGGCGGACTCCATGCCTAGTAGAAATCACAGTACATAATCAACATCCATTCCTCACAAACACCGGCGCCTTCAGCTCCTCAAGTGACCCTTCAGTTGTTGCAACTATCCCAGTTCAGACCCTAATTAACTCCCAAATGGGTTACAAGATCAGACCCTGTAACTAGTCAACATCCTGCCTTTAGTTTCCCTCTGTTCTGATTGATCTTCCACATTGGTGCCTGAGGAATGTTTCTAAAGGACCACTTGCATTGCATCATCTCTTTTCACAGCTTTTTTGAGATATAATTCACATGCTGTAATGTTCACCCTTTAAAAGTGTACAGAAGTTTTTAGTATAACCACAGAGCTGTGCAACTATTGTCACAATGTAATTTTAGAACATTTTCAACACCCCTAAAAGAAGCCCCGTATTTATTAGTGCACACTCCCTATTTCCCCCTTTACCTCTACCCCAGCTCTAGGCAACCATTACTCTGCTTTCTGTCTCTATAGCTTTGCCTACACTGGACATCTCATGTAAATGGACTCATGTACTCTGTGGCCTTTTTTGTCTGGCTTGTTTCACTTAGCATGTTTTCAAGGTTCATTCATGTTATAGCATTGTCAGTACTTCATTCTTTTTTATTGCCAGATAATATCCCACTGTGTGGATGATCCATTACATCATCTTTGATAGTCCTCTGGTGCCTACAGGCTGACATTTAACTTCCTTACCCTGGCACTAAAGTCTTCCCACATGCCAAACCACCTAAGATCTTCCCACATGCCAAACTACCTACTGGCCCACTCCTGCAGTCTTTTGTCCATGTGATATAATTCCACACAATAGAAAGAAGAATCTCCCTAAAATGCAAATTTGACCTTGCTACACCACTGCTTAAAAGCTTTCAGGGGATTATTCATTGCTGATATGATTAACCACACATTCTTTTTGTGGTCCAGCTATTCACTCGAGTTTCTTGTGTGTGCAAACACATGACATACATGCACACACATACACACATGTGCACACACAGAGAACTTTTTCATCATGTCCCAAATCGTTTCACACTTATGTGCCTTTGTATGCTGTTCCCTACTCTGCACTTCTTCCATCCCCAGATACTATAAAATAAAATGATACTCATTCTTCACATTTCTGTTCAAATATTCACTTTCCCTAAGAAGCCCTCCCTGGTTTCTTAGGCCTATAGCACTCTGTCTAGTTTGCTATTTACCACTAGTAAATAGCAAATCAACATTTGCTTACAGGCCCTTATACACTCCTCAAGGAAGAGTTGTCCTCATGTTATTCTCTTATCTAATTCTTGTTGCAATACTATTTAGTAGGTGCTATCATTACTTCCACTTTACAAATCAGGTAACTGAGGGTTAAAGAAGGTCACATGTCCAAAATGACAGGGCTTGAAGAGGCAGAGTAAGGACCTAAAACCAGGTCTGACCCCCAAGCCTGTCCTGTTTACTACTATAAACTTCAACCACATGACCTAAATGCTGACCAATCCAAGAAGTGTTTTGTTTATTAACCTCATTCTTAGTTTCATATTATATACCCCTCTTGCTTTATCTTGATTTCCTTACTCTTTTATTTAAAATTAGATTTTATCTAGTTGTTTATATATTTTTGTCTCTTCCTGGAGAAATATGGGCTACATATAACAATGAACCTGTGCATGACTCGGGTTGTTTCTCTTTCCACTCCTTGCCCACCCACCCTGCTGCCCCACGCCCTCCTGATTGACAGGACTGTGGGCAGCACCTCACCAATGAAGGAAGGCTGGAAGAGGGTCTCAGGGCAGCGGAAGCGCTCATTGCCAATAGTGATGACCTGCCCATCTGGCAGCTCATAGCTCTTCTCCAGGGAGGAAGAGGAAGCTGCTGTAGCCATTTCATTCTCAAAATCTAGGGCCACATAGCACAGCTTCTCCTTGATGTCTCTCACAATTTCTCGTTCAGCTAAAAAGAGTGGAAATGACAGAGAGTAGATACGCAGTTCTGTTAGTTTGGTTGTCCCATTTTGATCTCTATGAAAACCTCCTTCTTTGGATTCAGTCTTAGGATGAAAGTTAATTCTCTCTTTTAAAAAATATTTTATTTATTTTTTAGAGAGAAGGGAAGGGAGGAAGAGAGAGAGAGAGAAACATTGATCAGTTGCCTCTCATGTGCCCACATCTGGGGACTGGCCTGCAACCCAGGCATGTGCCCTAGATTGGGAATTGAACCAGCAACGCTTTGGTTCTTGGCTGACATTCAGCCCACTGAGGCACACCAGCCAGGATGAATGTTAATTTTTTTCATTCTGTTCCTCAAGTGGGAGGTCATAGTCTTGATTCCCAAGTAAAACATTGCATAGGCTTTTTTCCTTGCTGTCTTCACTCTGCCTTGACCACGCTGCAGGCCTTCCTGAGGGCCTGGCAGGACACACTTCCAGTCTCAATGTAGGCTTATATGCTGTGATCTCACAGAATCCAGGAAGGCCCCTACCTAATACTCTTTCCCAGGGTGACCATTGAGGCATGATACCTTCCCCTTAGATATTCAGACCTTATGTATTCTATGTGTCCTCAGACAAATTATAAATGCCTCTTGTTAATGAAATGCATAACCAGATCTTACTACCATTCAGCACTATTAAAAACTAGCTCCTATCTGGTATGGACAAAGACAGGGGTAGCAGGTCCCTCGGGAAGAAGGGGGTGCTGTGAAAAGGCACTTGAAGAGAGCTCAGCTGAGTGCTGCTTAGGATGAGTAGGCCTAAGCCTTGTATTGCTCAGGAACAGTCCTCCTTGAACACGGTTACCTTGACTTTCTGGTTTTGTCCAGAGGCCCAGCCCTAGGCCAGGGCCTCCCCACCTACCCTAAGATAGTTGGAGGATACAGAGCCACAGCCTTCTCATTAGTCCTGGAACTTCTGGTCCTCGAACAGATTTGGTGCTTTGAGCTGTGCTCAGAATCAGGAAAGGGGCTGGATACCTGTGGTCACAAAGGAGTAGCCTCTCTCTGTGAGGATCTTCATGAGGTAGTCTGTGAGGTCGCGGCCTGCCAGGTCAAGGCGCATGATGGCGTGAGGCAGTGCATAACCTTCATAGATGGGGACATTGTGGGTGACGCCATCCCCTGAATCCAGGACAATGCCTATGGACAGAGGGATAGGACCTATGAAAACCTTTCTTGTCTCTCATCTATCTCTTTCTGGGACCATTTACCAATGAGCTTCAATTACCACATTTTCTTTAGTAGCTGAGAAAATTCATTCTCCATCAGAATAATCAATCATATTTTTGTACACACCAATTGATTCTCCCAAATGAGACTACACCCTACTGGAAAGCGAGTAAAATGTCTCCTCTTCTCACACTACTTGAAACACTTTCATGATGATGCACACTTGTCAGTTTGCATCTGAGGTACACATTCTTTAAATGAGACAGGATAATTTGTACATCTTTCAGGTATAAAACATATGTGTACATGCACGTGGAATGTTAGATCTTAAAGAGACTATAAAACCAGCCAATTTGAAAAAAATTAACATTCTCTACTAATAAAAGTTTTAGTAAACTATAAAGGGAAATAAGCTTTGTCAGCTTGATAAGAAATCTCTCTTGATCCTACAACTACATCACAATTGATGGGGAAACATAATACCATTATTTTATTATTATTATTTAGTATAGTCATGGGTGTTTTAGCCCATGCAATAAGACACAAAATGGAAATAAAAAGTATTATTATCAAAAGGAAACAGAATCATCATTATTTATACATGATGTGGTTGTTACCTAAAAGACCCAAGAGAATCAAATAAAAAATGATTAGAGCTAGTAAGATGGTTTTATAGGGGCAGAGGTAAAATAAATATCCAGGGACAAGTAACTTACTCTTGTACAAAGATGTTGATCATAGCATATTTTATAATAAAAAAATTGAGACAAGCTACAGGCCCAGCAATTGACAAATGGTAAAGTAAATAAATAAGTTATGGAATCATCATACAATCGTTATATTACCACGGGGCCATTCAACATGATGTTCACAACAAAATCAAATGCAAAGCACAGGATGCAAAACCATATATACCCCGTACTTCCTTATTACTGTCCTTATCGCCTGCAGTGAAAGGATCTTTTACTGTTGTCTCTCCCTCACTAGTCTGTTAGCTCCATAATGGCAGGGTCTGTCCTGTCAGTGGTGCAGTGCTCAGCACATGGTGGGCAGGATTGGAAAATATTGATGGATGGATGAATGAATGAATGGACGTATCTATGAACACATGAGTGAATATTAGTAAAAAACAAAGACAAAAAATACATGTTGCAATGATGTGCATGGAAGCTGTGAAGTCCCAATTAAAAACTTTTATTTTGAAGCTCCCTCTGTTTTCCCGAGCACCTTTCCATACCAAGGACACGTACTTGCATATTCACCATCACAGTTTTTGCTGTTGCTGCTTCCTGAGCAGAAACATTCCACCGTTGTTGGAAGGTGTGTATAAGCTCTAGGACTGACTACTATGAGGGAAATGGCCCTTGATGAATGTACTAGTCACGGTTTGTTCATGTGAACTCTTTCCATCTGTCCCAGGCGTACTTTCAACCACATGGCTTCCTTTTTGTTGTCCCAAAGCAAGGCTTTCCCTGGACTTTGGCTGTCCCTTTAATTCTTCTGAGCAGAAACCTCTTTCCTTCCTACCTCTGAAGTCAGAAAGGGAATGGATGCCCACCTGTGGTGCGGCCAGAAGCATACAGGGAGAGCACAGCCTGAATGGCGACGTACATGGCAGGGACATTGAAGGTTTCAAACATGATCTGAAAGGACAAGGCAGAATTAGACTGGCAGAAACAGCAGCACCTTTCGGTCCAAAGAGTAGTTTGGAATCTTATTAAGGGCAGGAGATATGCCTGTTCACCCCCCTCCTTCCTTGCATAGGGCCTGGCACGGACTATGCACATAACAGGTCCTCAAAAGAAATTCTGTCACACTGATGTATGAGTGAGAGAAAGGACCTGGCTGAGCATCCATGTTGCATTCTTGTGCCAGTGCTCAAGCCTGGCTTACCTGGGTCATCTTCTCCCTGTTCGCCTTGGGATTTAGGGGGGCCTCTGTGAGCAGGGTGGGGTGCTCTTCTGGTGCTACCCGCAGCTCATTGTAGAAGGAGTGGTGCCAGATCTGTTTGGGACAAAAGTCGGATGAGTCCAGCAGACTCCCAGTGGGTAGAAAATCCCAGCTGGCATGCCCATGCGAGGGGAGTAGGGCACAGGTGAGAACTATCAGCCCTGGGAATTTCTGACTGAAGGTCAGAGGTTATGTTCCTTCTCAATGAGGCCCTAGACAGGACTCAGAACTGGGACTATTCTACTTCAGGTGTTATTTCTGTCTGAACTTCCCTTCTCTCTCCAGCTTTGTGCCCTGGGGGGCCAGGCCGGTCACATCTGTGTTCCTGGCCTTCTGGCTTCTATGTTTGGCTGATAGAAGATACCAGCAAGAGGCTGGAGAGTGGGAGGAGGAAGAGAGGTGAGTGGGTTTCTCCTGGAAATAGTCTGGCCTTTCTTGAGTGCTGTTCCTGTTTGGTGGCCCCTCTCTCAGGACCCCAGCTCTCACAAAGTTTTAGTGAAATTGTTCCCCTGCAACATGAAGTATGTAAAAGCTTCCCTCTCCTGCTAGTAGTTGGGTGCCTCAGCATCACTTTCTGGGCCCTTAATTCTGCTCACACCTCTCAAGCCCCAACTAAGTGTATGCTGTCTCCGGTGGGGAAACGGACAGTCCCACTTGAACCTTCCCTGTATATGTGTATTATTGATTTGGCTGGTAGTTTAGAGCAGGGTTTCTTGACCTCAGCACAGTTTAGGCTAGATAGTCCCTTGTTGCAGGGGGCTGACCTGAGCTTTACAGGATGCATAGCAGCATCCCCGGCCCCCACCCACCAGATCTCCAGCTTGTGACAGGCAGGAAATGTCTCCAGATTTTGCCAAATGCTCTCTGGGAGGCAAAATCTCCCCAGTGGAGGACCACCATTCTAAAGGAAAGCGTTCCTTCCCCCTGAGTCAGGTCCCTCTTCAGTGATCCAGGATCACAAAACAGGAGTGTTTTTTGTTGTTGTTTGTTTGTTCTAATTTCAGCAGCATTTGGCAAAGTGTCAGAGATGTACTGCTGTGATCTCAGAGGTGGGGCACAGGATCATTTGATTCCATGGCACCCACATATTTATGGATCCCTGGCTTTGTGTTAGGACAGAGCTAAATGTGAGAAGGGCAGATATGAAACGGACGTGGCTCCTAGATCTTAGTTCCAAAGTCTGGAGGGGAGAAAGACAGGGAAAAAGACAATACACAAAGACATCTGCACTTTAAGCGGAAGACGAGTCAGAAGCAGTTCATTCACTGGTGGATTTAGACGTGCCCTGAAGGTGAAGGAATTTTGCAGAGGCTGAGAAGGGCACCCAAGGAGGAGCAAATGGCACAAGCAGAGGCCCTGGACTGTGGAAGTTTCACGAGCGACAGCAAGGAAGAGACAGTCTGAATAAGGTGATGATGTCAGCTTTTCTTCAAATGTGGTCCCCAGGTGCCTTCTGTCAGCATCACCTGAGATAACTGTTACAGATGCAGGTCCCGAGGCACATCCAGACCCATCACTCAGACTCTTTGAGTGTTGGACCTCAACATCTGCATTTCATTTTATTGGAGTGTTTTAATAAATTAGTTTAAAAAAGATATTAATAAAGTTAAAGTTAGACAAAAAAAATTTTAAGACGAATAAAAACCTCCCATGTTTCAGTTACCAAATAATAAACAGGTAACATTGGGTTTTTTTCTTTTTCCTAATCTTTTACTTTTATGTATTTTCAAACGTATTCCTGTTACTATGTATTTTCATATGCTTGCATTTATTTATTTATTTATTTATTTATTTATTTATTTATTATATTATTAGCCCTGGCTGGGTGGCTCAGTCGGTTGCAGCCTTGTCCCATACACCAAAAAGTTGTGTGTTTGATCCCCAGTCAGGGTGCATGTGGAATGCAACCAATTGATGTTTCTCTCTCTGCCCCACTCCCTTCCTCTCTCTTAAAATCAATAAGCATATCTTCAGGTGAGGACTAAAAAATACTATTATTGTACTTTTATATTCAATTTTGTTTCCTGCCACTTTTTAGTTAATATAACATAAATATATTTTCATAGTAAAAATTTTTTATCCATTGAACATGTATTTTTAATCCGCTATAATATTTCAGCATATATCATCATATACTTACTCATGTTACTATTTATGTGATCTCTTCCATTTTTATTTATAAATAGTCCTGTGATAACTATCTCTGTGCAGGTTACAGTTTCCTTTTTCTGTTCAGATTGTTTTCCAAAGAAAAGAATTTTAACAGTGGATTACTGGGCCGAAGAGTACGGCAATTGTACAACTTACTGATTTTTACTACCAACAAAGAGGTTAAATTACTCTTTATTCCAGAATAAGAAAGTGCCCATCTCATCCTTACCTGTGTTCAGTGCTCTTGCTCTTAAAATATGAAATAATTTTATAGATAAAAATAATATCTAGTTTCACTTTGACTTTTTTTTGTTTCAAAAGAGTTTAAATTTCTTCATATTTGCATTTTTTTATAATTTTTATTTGGGAAATTATCTGTTTATACCCTTTGTTTGGTGGATACTTTGTATCTTTATTCATCAATTTGCACTAGCCATTTATATTAAATCTTCAATGCATTTGTGAAAATTTTTGATTTTGTTGTTTGCATTTTAAAATTTGGTTTTGTTTTTTACAGGCTAGAAATTATAATTTTTTGTTTTTGTTTTTAAAGATTTTATTTATTTACTTTTAGAGAGAGGAGAAGGGAGGAAGAGAGGGAGAGAAACATCAATGTGTTGTTGACTCTTGTATGCCCCCTACTGGGGACCTGGCCTGCAACCCAGGCATGTGCCCTGACTGGCAATCGAACCAGCCACCCTTTGACTCATAGGCCAGCATTCAATCCACTGAGCCACACTAGTCAGGGCAGAAATTATAATTTTTAAGAAATCACATTCATCATTCTTTTTCTCTCTGACTTTTTTCACTAGAAATTTGATAAATACACTTATTATATTGTATCTTTTAATATTTGAATTTTTATATTTAACTTTTATATTCAATTGATACGTGTTTGGTGGAATAGTGTGAGGTAAGGGCAATAAACAATATTCCTCACCCTCCAGATAAGTAATCAGTTGTCCCAGAATAATTCATTGAGTAATCTTTTTCTGGTATTAGAAATTTCATTTATCATGCATTTTCTCTTTTCCTTTGCGCTGCTACCAAGTTGTTTTTATTTTTATAACTCTATATTTTAATAATCGAATATGGCAAGTGTCCTCATAGTTTTCTTATTCATTTTGTTCTGACAAATTTTGTCTTATTTCTTTCTTTGAATGTACCTTATGGCTATTTTACATAATTAAAAATTGTGATTTTTTTGAAGTTAAATTTATAGAAGCAGAGCATAAAATGGCACAAGAGTTAGTGGGAGGTGGGGGGGGTTGGGGAACCAGTGAAGAGGCTGGTCAAGGGGAGCAACGTCTCAGTGATATAGGAGAAAATAAATTCTGGGGACTTAATGCATAGCCTGGCAACTGCAGGTGACAATGCTACACTACATACTTAACATTTGCTAAGAACGTAAAATCAGTTGTTCTCAGTACCAGAAAATAACTATGTGAGGTGACAGGAATGTTAATTAGCTTGAATGTGGTGACTGGTACACTATATATACTTGAATATATATATGTACATATATACATATATTCATGTATACACACACATATACATATATATATTCAAGTCATCAAATTGTGTACCTTAAAGGCATACAATTTGAAAATTGTCAGATTTTTATTGAAACGGCAATGAGCCCATGAATTAATTTTAGAAGATTTGACAGCTTTATCTTATTCCATTTTTCTTTTAAGGCACATAATATATTTTTAGGGGTTTCTTTGAAGAGTTCATATAGTTACTACTATGAATTGTCACATTTTTTAATTGTACATTGCTAGATATATACAAGTTGTATATACCATTTATTGAACATTAAGTATGTTCCATGCCTTGAGATTATACTAAATATTCACCTAATTCAATCTACAAAGCAACCTAGTGAGGAAACTACTTTTATCTCCACAAATGAGGAAGACAAGGCTTAGGGGGAAGAATTTGCTCCCAGATCTCCCTGTCATTGACTCGTGTCTGTGTTGTTAACGGTTCTGCTGTGTGAAGCAAACGTTATTCTATTTTACCTATTTATCTCACATCCAGAGTGCCTGAATCTAGGGTTTAGAGAAGAGTATTTTGAACCACAGATTTAAAATCAACATTCTTTATTCCCAGTGGCAGTGTGCTCAATAAGCCTCTATTACATTTCAAAAGGCAATCATTGCAAAGCAAGCACTCTCAGACAACTGTCAGCAGAATTTATCAAAAGAATATTAAAAAGGCTCTATTAGCATTTTGCACACATGATTTTGTTGATCGCAAACTGCCATTTAAAAATTGTCCCTTGCTCACATTTTCTGACACAAAAAGGCTTCTAGAAACCCCGATGGATTCTTACTTAGAATTTTCATTAGGGAACCATCACTCTAATGTAGCATCAATGCACCTATCTGAGGTCCTGGCAGAGAAAACAAAAAGGAGAGAAGCTATTTGCCTCTCTCGGGGCAGCAGCAGCGTCTGAAAGAAGGCATAAGCACTGGCTTGAGAGGAGGCCTGTGGAAGGATGAAGCTGGGAACTAGGCAGGACCGGACACTCAGAGGCCAGGCAGGAAGTTCGGAACCTGATGTTGGCTCATGAGGAGCTACTGAAGATTCTCGAGGAGGTAAATGATGTTATCTGATTTATTTCTGGAAAGATAAGCGGTGCAGCAGTGTAGGGAATTGACTGGGTGAGTGAGACAGGAGACAAGGAAATCGGTTACGAAGCCAGTGCAAGAGTACTATGCAATATCTTGACTGAATATGGCTATTGGGACAGACAGGAAGAAAAGAAGTGTGCAAAAAACATTTTTTTAGATAAAAACATTTTATCCCACAGCCCTCTGTGCCCTCTAAGCTGATAGGGCACAGAGGACTGTGGGATATGAGGGTCACGATGATGTATTGCCATTAAAATAAGCATGTTAAAGGGGGAGTTCACCAATACCTTCTCCATGTCATCCCAGTTGGTGATGATGCCGTGCTCAATGGGGTATTTGAGAGTCAGGATCCCTCGCTTGCTCTGAGCCTCATCGCCCACGTAGCTGTCTTTCTGGCCCATTCCCACCATTACACCCTGCAACGCAAAGGAGGAGAGATGTGAATTGGCTGAGGGCTCCCCTCAGCGGAACTCATGCATCAGAGGGTTTCTGAAGAAAGATGAAGACAGGAAAACTGTCCTTCCCCAGGAAGCAGAACAGCAGGAGATAAGGGTGAGGCAGATAACATTGAATAAAGATGTGATAAGGAGAGAAAGTGGAGGATATCTTGTGGGCTTATCTCTCTTCTTTCACCTAAGACCACGTCACTTTCTGAGACAGAGAAAGCAGGCTCCCCCCATGCACTTCCTCTGCTTACTTCACACACACACACACACACACACACACACACACACACACACACCCCTTATACTTGCCCTCCTCATACACCCTATGCTCACATTTTAAACCCCCAAATCTTTGCTCCTGCTGTTCTTTCCAAATGCTTAGATCCTCTTTAGCCTCAACTGCCTTTTTCCTGCAAAGTCTTCCCCTTCCTTTGTCTCTCCATTCAGATTTAATCTCTCCCTCTCCTGGTGAAATATTTTGCCTCTAGTTCAGCCTATGTATGATCTCAAATTAGTTGTGGGTGTATCTTCAGAGTATAAATTGCTTAAAGGCAAGGGACTCGTTTAATTGCATATATATTTTGTAAAGGTTTCTTCCAAACCTAGCAATCCCAAAGACTTAAGCCAGATATAACACCATCATTGATGTCTGATGGATGTTTTGGTTCTGTGTATTTCTATTTAAAGGGGCCTTCTCTGTTAGTTAATCGGAAGAGAGGACCCTACCCTCAACACACACGCATGCCCTTATACTCACACACACACTCATACCCTCTCACACACACACATAAACAGTTCAGCATTGTCTCCACAATGCTGTGCTTATTCCTAGCAGCTCAAATCCTCGTGTCCAGATGAGCACACACCTGGTGGCGAGGGCGGCCCACGATGGAAGGAAAAACAGCTCGGGGGGCGTCATCTCCTGCAAAGCCAGCCTTGCACAGGCCAGAGCCATTGTCACACACAAGTGCAGTGGTTTCCTCTTCACACATGGTGAGTGTGGCCAAGGGAACTGGGGGCTGGAGCACCTTGGGGGTTGGAGCAGAAGAGAACTAGTCAGCCAATTGTCAAAAACATGCTGGAGACAGTCTTCTGACTTAAGAGCTGACTCCACCTGCAGCCAGCGCCCAGTTTCAGGAGACATAAGTGTGGACCCAGCCTCCCAGACCCTGGCAGTTGGGCCTCTTCCCTCTGCTGTGCTGGTATGGACTGAATTGTATACACCCACATTCATATGCTTAAATCCTAACCTGCAGTAACCCGAAGGATGACTGTATTTGGGGATAGGGCCTTTAAAGAGGTAATTCAAATAAAATGAGGCCATTTATCCAGTGTAACTAGTCCAATAGGGTGGGTGTGTTTATAAGAAGAGGAAATTGGGACAGAGATGTGCAGCGGGAAGACACGTGAAGAAGGAGCCAGGAGGTAGCCATGGACAAGCCCAGGAGAGAGGCTTCAGACTAGATCGGGCGCGTTCAGGGTGGTATGGTCGTAGACAGGAGAGAGGCTTCGGAAGAAACCAACCCTGCCAAACCCTTGGTCTGGGACTTCTAGCCTCCAGAACTGTGAAAAAATACATTTCCGTTGTTTAAGCCACCCAGTCTGTGATAGTTTGTTATGGCAGTTTTAGCAACTCATTTGCCTGCCTCTTGAGACCTGAAATGGCTACAAAGCTCTAATCCAGCAGAGAGAATCTTAAAAGACCGGAAGGTCAGGAAAGGAGTTTAAAAAAATGTGCAAAATATATAACAAAGGATTTATATAAAAAACGCATAAGTCAACAAGGAAGAAGTAAATGGCTCAAAAGAAAAAAAGATGATGAATATGTAACTGTCAGAACAGGAAATGCAAACATCCAACGACTGTGTGAGAAGACACACAGCCTCTCTAGTTATCAGGGAAATGCAGTGAAGGAAGACCGTTTTTACCCATCAGAGTGTTAAGATTCCAAGTTTTATAAGAGGTGTCGGCCAAAGTATGGAGAAACTGGCACTCTTAGGAGACACACACAATTTGAAATTACCCAAAAGTCCAAAGTATGGTTACTGTCCTAAAGTTAAGAGAAGAGCCAGGCCTATGTTTATGGAGTCAACGTGGCTAGATTTCTCAACCATTCTAGAATGTATAGCATAAAACCATTTCTGTACCTTCTTTTAAAACAAACAAACAAACCCCAAGATTGTGTATTTTCCACAGTGTTCTATTTATGGATATAAACACAGCAAAAAGTCCTGGAAAAAAGTCTGACTGATTTTGGTGATCACCTCCGGAGGCGGGAAGGAGCTGTGAGAGGAGGCTCTGGGTCGCAGCTGGAGTGTTTCCAATTTTTACAGGGAGACTCTATTCATGAATAGTTTACAATTAAAATCAACATAATATAGCACTAAGGAAAAAATGTAGTAGGTATGGGGATGGCATGCAATCCTAAGTGTAGCAGGGAGCCAGGAGGGGCTCCCCTGGGGCGGAGGGGGCAGCCGAGAGGAGAGGAGACGAGTTAACCCGCACGGGCCTCGCTGCCCCTGCTGCTGCTTCAGGTGGGAACCTGGGGCCGCTGCTGAGTGAGGAGGGAATTCATTTTTCCAACATCTGTTGAAGGTTTTCTTTTTTTTGGGGGGGGAGGTTGAAAGACAACCTCTGACAACATTTTGGCACTTAGTGACAAAAGAGAAGCAAAGGACACTCAGGAGACAGTAGATGGCCTTCTAGCCTGGGAAGTGCTGGGTGGGAAAGTGTGAATGGAAATGGGAAGGGTCCTAGCTAAGGGGACGGAAAGGCCAGCTTTCAGGAGTCCAGGGAAGAGGCCCAAGGCGTGGAAGGAGAAGGTGGTAGTGGCAGAGGAAGCCCCAGTCAAGCTTCATGCAGGATGTGAGGCCGCAGGAGGGGAAGAAGATGGGCTCTATGGGAACCTGTGGCCTTGGCCCATCAACGGCGATATGCTGAAATGGACAGTGAAGACGATGACCAAAGCAAAGAGGAGACCTGGCCACAGGCCCGTGAACATGAGGTCAGAAGGGCTAAGTAGAGACTGGGCAGAAGCTTATTAACAAAAATTTGAGACTAAAAAGAAGCCCTTTCCTGTTGTGTTTGAAGCACTGTGCACACTGGGGGAAAGGCCCACTGTGACTACTGAGTCCAGTTCTGCTTCTGTCTCTGTTCATCGTTATAAACTCTGCTGGCCACGGAGATCGAGTCTCAGCTCTTCAGCTTGGCCCACGGGGCCCATCAGGGTCTGGCCCCGGCCTGTGTCTCCAGGCTCATCTGACCCCCCACCCTGTCTCATGCTTTTCACATATGGAGGGTCCCAGCCCCATTCAATGAACTGTGTCACTTCCTCTTTCTTCTGAAGTTTAACACACAAGGTCTGGAAGATCCTCTCCCTACCTGTTTGCTACTCCTGTCAGCTGTCAGACCTCTGTGTTAACACTGCATTTTCATGAGGCCTCTCTGGCCAGTGGTCTTAGTTAGTGACCCCTCCTCTTTGCCCCACTGCACCTTGAACTTGCATGGGGAATGCTCAGCTCTGCGTATGCTGGCTCACGCACAGCTGTGTAAGGACAGAGGCTGGGTCTGCCTTATTCCCCAGTGATTCTTCAGTGTGCCGAACATAATATCTGGCACAGAGTGGACTCTTAAATGTTTGTTATCAAAATGGATGAATGAATGAATCAATGGCTGTCAAGGAGAAAGGTTTTCAGAACAAAGGAAGGACAAACATTGGTAAGAGGAATCAAGGTCTGAGGTGAAGTGGTGATTGAAGGAAAGCACTTAGCTACTCAGAACAGTCCTGTCTCTGGGTCTGAACAGCTCCTGGATTGCGGAGAAGATTCCCCCAACCTCCTACCATCTGGGAACAATGGAGAAGTGAGGAGACGGTCGGAGATAGGAGATGGGCAAATGTTGTTTAATGTTCAAAAAGGAAAAAAAAGGCAGATCTCTGAAACCTCAGGTAATCCTGATATGCAAGTGAGTTAGGTTTCCAGAGGCACTGTTAAAGAGGCAATTTTAAAGAAGCCGTGGTTTCTTATATTTGGTAATCGTTCACCAAGAGCCAATGTCTTCAGAGTAACAGCCCTCCATTTTCTCTCAGGACCACGGGGCAGGAGAAGGTGGAAGACACTGACCTTCACTGGATCTTGGCATCTGACAAAGTCTCCTGTGACATCCCTATTGATAAAGCCAAGTGGGCTGAACAGTAAATCAATCAGGCATATTTGTAGCAGCCTAAATTAGTCACTGAAATGTGTTAATTGATGGATCAACATCAACCTGGAGACAGTGATATGTCTTAGGCCCTACTCTTGATTTATTTTTTATGTGACATTTTAATAAATAAGCTCAATGAAAATACAGAGCACATGCTGATAACTCCCACATAAGACAGACTGAGGAGAGAGTAGTATTAAATACGTTGGAAGGGAGAACCAAAATCCAAAGCAGATCTCAAAAAGCAGAGAAAATAAGCTAAGTCCAGTACAATTAAATTTAACGGGATAAACATGAGGTTCTGCCCGTGAGTCTAAATGACCAAACTGTGAACGCTCTTGTTCAGCCTCTGTGAGCAGGACCTGGTGCTCCGCTGACAGTCGGGAGTGTGCTGTGGCCCCAGCGAAAGCTCACCCCACCTCTGGCTGGAGAGCCGTGTCCCGAGCCTGGGGACGCCCGTAACGGGAAACGCGTGGGGAAGTGGCTCGTATTCACTGCTGATGCGTCAAATTGTACAGTTTTTTAGAAGGGGAATTTGTAAGCACCATTCAAAGCCTTAAAATGAACATGTATTTTTTTGCGTATCATGTACAGGGTGGGCAAAAGGAGGTTTACAGTTGTGAGTATGTGAAACCCAGAGTTTATTCTTGTGTTATTATTTATTAGTTATTGTACTACTTTCCATATGAACAACTGTGCGTATCTTTTGATAGAAAAATGTGCATGTCTTTTGACCCTACAAAGACACGTCCAGGGACTTCCCCTTGGGAAGCACTGGTGGGTAAGCAGAACGATTTGGCCAGGAGCCAGTTTACCACAGCTTTGTGGAAAATCACCAAGATGAGAAACAACTTTAATGTTGAAAAGTTATTGAATGATAAACGGATTTGTAAACTAATTGCCAGAAGCCTCCATGCGACAGAGAGAGCAGAAGATGCAATGCAACGGGAGAGGCCCAGCTGCTTTGTTAAGTGAAACCCGGCAGCGTATTCCTGTTTCCATTTTTGGAAAATAAATGTTCTCTTTCCCTTTTTAAAAAATAAAAGTATTCTTAATTAGAAAACGGGGGCCCTTCACATATATTATCTATTTAATCCTCTCAAAACCCTGAAGGGAGGTGTCTTTAGTTCCACTTTACAGATTTGGAAGCCAAGTCTCTGCGGAGGGAAAGAACGTAACCTAACGTCTCCTCGCCAGGCAGAGGCGGGGCTGGCGGACCCCACAGCCCGGACTTGCACCTTCCTCTCCACCTCAGTGAAACCCTCATAACTTCTCCATGTTTGGTGCTTTCGCTTCTGCTTCTCTGTCTCTCTGGAGCTGCTGGCAGCACATGCCCTGAGACAGAAAGGTCTGTGTTCTTGTTTCTCTCTGACTCTCTGGGCCCCTCCGATGCCAGGATTGTGTCTACATTTATGTTTCTAGCCCCTGCCTCTATTTCAGTGTTTTGCACACAGTAGGTGCTCAATGAATGTTGGATGACAACCTCACCACCTGAGTGCCCCGGTCCCAGGCCTGGCCTGTGCTTCCCCTGATGTCCCCGGGTTCCCACAGTCCAGTATCACAACAACGTGGTCACATGGGCCTGATTTAAAGCCACTCGGGGACTGTTTTCTCTACAGAAGCTGTTCGGCAAACAGTTAATGTTTCCACATTCTAGCAGGGGTCCACCTTGAGGGGAAAGCAACCTTGAAAACTAGTAGGTAGCCAAGAGGCAAGGCCACACCTCTGTGGCTGTCTTGCTCTGGGGTCCCCTCAACATTTCTCTCTCTCACGTGTGATTTATAGGTCAAGCCTGTCTGGCTTTTCAGTGAACCCTTCTGTCTCCTCCTGCCTCCCCCCCACTACAGAAAGAGAGTGTTGGACCTTGTTTCCCAGCAGCAGAGACAAGCCACAAAGCAACTTAAAGTTGTCAGCAATGCCATTCTGCAGCACTTGGGTGGATTTAAAGCTACTTTCTCCAAGGCAGACCCAGATGAAAAAGTAGGGAGGCGGCGAAGGCGGGGTCAGGGCTGCCGGCCTGGAGTTGGAGCCTCCGCGGGGCCCCACGCTGCCCTGGGAACAAGGGTTTTAACGCAGCCAGACTCTCCTGGAATGTCTCTGTCGGAGAAACTCGACACCCTCCTCAGCTGCCTGCTGGTAACTTGGGGCTAGACTCGAGCATGTCAGCTGAACCAGAGCCAAAGGCACTGTGGTCTCCCGGGGTCACAACCGCTTCGCGCTGGCAGAGAGCTGAGTGAAACGTTCTGGCTCTGTCAGCATGTACTACATCTGGGCTTCATTGAGGATTTCACGAACTTAGAAACACAGCTCCCCGCTCCTCCCCAAGGGTGGCCAAAACCCAAACACAGAATGAGCATGAAGAATTGGCTAGGCCGGGCTAGGTAGCTCCTTTGGTTAGAGTGTGCGCCAAGGTCGCGGGTTTGATCCCTCGTCAGGGCACATACAGGAAGCAAGCAATGAACGTGTAACTAAGTGCAACAACAAAACGATGTTTCTCTCTCTCTAAAATCAGTAAATAAAAATTAAAAAAGAAAAAGAATTTGCCCGCTCACTTATCTCCTGCCCCTCTCCTCTAGGCAACTACGAAGAGAGAGGCATTCAAATCCCCTCCCTGCCACTCCAGGGGTTTGGCCTCAGCGGCGCCTCCGCCTTCCTCTCTGCGCCCTTCTCCCCTCCTCAGACGCTCCCCCGCCGCGGCCCAGGCCCGTGTTTCCTGCTCTGGCCTTCAGTTCCCTCAACTATGAAATGGAAACCCTCACATCTATCTCTCAAGCAGATGGACCAAATAAAATAATGGAAACGAAAGTGACTTATACATTGTAAATCAGTGTCAGCAAACTGCTGTAAATCAGTGTTTGTGTGTGGCCCGTGGCCCAAGAATGGTTTTGACAGAGCCTAATGTGTTTGCTATCAGGCCCTCTTCATGAAAAGTTTGTCAGTCTCTGTTGGAAAAGGCTGCAAAAATAATTCTTGTATCTCTCCCGCTTGTCTGCACCGGAACTTGCTCCCTGGATGAGGTCTGTTGAATATTGGACGGAGTTGAATGAGCCACCTCACAAATCCATGATGCTTGAAAGTCGGATTTATGCCAGTTTCCAAAGGCATTTTGGTAATTAACAGGAAGTTTAAACCCTAAAAGGAAGGCCTCTATGATGGTGAGACTTCAAACAGTAGTTGGGGAAATATTTGGGGGTGAAGACTTTAAATAACATGTAAGCAGCAGGAGCCTATTATAATGTACACGCACACACATACGCTCATAAGATCGAAAAGCCCGGCGGAGCGAAATCATTCCACCAAAAACATCCCTTCAGCGGAAAACTCTAGCAGCACCTCTAACTAACTTTGGGCCATCTGGGCTTCATTGATATATACTAATTACATTTAATTTAACGACTAGTGAGTGATATTTCTGGTTCTCAGGATTCCGCTGTTTGGACCTGCTCTGCAGGCTTTTCCCCGGGCCTCTCGTTTGCTCTCCTGGCTCAGTCCAGACCCTCTCCCGGGCTCCCGTTGGGCACCTGCAACTCATGCCCCCGGCACCTCGACTCCACCTCCAGGACTGCCCCCCTCATGACTGCCCTCTAAACCCAGACTGCCCCTCAGTGAAACGCACCACCCACCCTGGAGCCCATACCCTGACTCCTCCCTCCTCCTTCCCAACCAATCCCCAGGGTGTCTTAGTTCTATCTGCATGCCACCCTGCATGACACCCTCGGACCACTGCACATGGCCTGCACTCTTGCCCTGTTCCAGTTCCCTATCCTCACAGCTTCCAGAGCAGACCCTTCAAAAGGCACATCTCTTGCTGTCGCCTTTCTGTAGTCCCCCATTGCCCAGTCCTTCAGCGTAATGTATAAAGCCCTGATAATCCAGCCCTGCCCACCGCTCTGTCCTTATCTCTCTCTGCTTCCCAACTTGAAGTCTCAATTCAGTAGAGTTTAGCTGCTTGAAGGATCCCAAAGACCATGCTTCCTCTCTACCTGCACCACCCCAACTCCAGGACCCAGCTCAGGTACCCCTTCCTCCAGGAAGCCTTCCCTGATAACTCCTGGGCTGGGTGAAAGGCTTCTCCTAGAGACCTTTATGTAATTATTTACTCCATACTTCTCTTCTGTTTTTCTGCCTCTCCCAATGGTTAAAGAAGCCCCTATACTGTCCCTAAGGAGCTAGGACAGTGTCTTGCACATAGTAAATGCTCAGTAAATGTTGGAATGAACAAGGGGCAGGAGGGGAAAGATCACTCCTCAAGGTCAGGATGTCACGCTGCCCATCTTGGTTTCCCAGGCCTGACATGTAGAATCACTGCTCATTACAGTTTCTCCAGCACACTTGCTTCTTTGTCACAAGGTGGGAAGCTCTCTTTTCAGCCCAACGGATAACCTTGAAGTCTAAACCCGTTAAAAAAATAAATAAAAGCAAGCACTCAGGGCCTCCCTAAGGGAATTGTGGTATCAGACCTGCAGCCTCAGCATCACCTGGGAGCTTTTTAGGAACGCAAATTAGTGGGCCCTGCCCCAGCCCTCTGAATCAGAATCTGGGGGGGGGGGTGTAGGGCAGTCTGTGTTTTAACAAGCTCTCCAGGTGTTTTTGTTTTGTTTTAGAGAGAAAGAGAGAGGAAGGGAGGGAGAGGGAGGGAAACATCGATATGAAAGAGAAATATCGACCAGTTGCCTCTTATAAGTGCCCTGAACCCACAATATGCTCTGACTGGGAATTGAACTGGCAACCTTTCGCTTTGTGGGATGATGCCAAACCAACTAAGCCACACCAGTCAGAGGTCCAGGTGATTTTTAAAGTTTGAGCAATCGGCATCAGGCCCTCACAGCACTGAGCTGAGCACTTTATACATGTATTATCTCATTTAATTCTCACGACAGTGCTACCAGGTAGGTAATATTACTATCGCTCCCATTTTGCAGGAGAGTAAATTGAGGTCACTTAGTAAATTTGGTAGCTGGCAGTCTGCTCCCAAGGCCTGCACCACTAAACCACCTGCCTCAGCCATGAAGAGATGGCAGCGACTCTGATCGCAGAGTGGAAATTGCCAGGCTAACATTACCGATGGCTCATTGGACATCAGCGCACAGAGGATGCTCCGACACTGAGCCTGCCCTGCCACCAGTGCGGGCAAGCCTCCTGGGTTCCCCACCTCAGAGTCCTTCCCTGCAGCCCCTTGGTCTCATTTTACTCTTAATTATTTGTGCGCCCGTGTCCGTCCATGCGTGCGTGTGCGCGGGGCATTGGCAGGCAGTTTCACAGCTGGGCGTGTGGCTTGGAGAAGCTGCTCGACTTCTCCAGTGTCCTCATCAGAGTGAATGCAGTGGCTCCTATGTTCCCTCCAACCTTCAATCTGCTTGATGTCACAGAGCACTCGCTCCTACCCCACCCCTGACTTTCCACCCCATGACCCCAGAGCCTTCAAGGCCTGAGAAAAGCTTCTGTTCACCTCGGCCAAGCACAAATCAGATGTTGCATTGCCAGTGTGACCCACAGAGGGCTGAAGAAAATACTCTCTTATTCCCAGCTCATACATCTCACAGACACTGGGGCCATCGTTAGCTTTGATTCAAACACCCTCAGAAGAAGCAGGTTTTTTAAAAAGACCTGCTCACCTAAGACAGTCTCTCCCGGACATTTGGAGCTGTGATGAAGGACGCGAGAGTGTAGATCCGCACTGCTCCTGGCAGCGGATGAGTAGAGGCAGCAGGTGTAAGAGCCCACCCATCACCCAGTTACCAGGGCAGGGAGCACCCACCTAGCCCCAGAAAGCTTTTGCCCCAGAGTGCCCGTTGGCCAGAAAGGCCGTCCCTGACAGGCAGCAGGGTGCCTGCAGGCACCGCGCTGTCCACTGAGGGCCTTGACGTGTGTGACCTGGGCCAGCGTCACGTCACGGGGGCCAGGCCAATGGAGGCGCCTCCTGCAGCCAGGAGGCCAGGCAGCCCCAGGCAGAAAGCCCACAGAAGCTGTATTGTACTCACCGAATGTACGAGAGGTCCTTCTTCCAGTGACTGAGGGCTGGTGTGACTTTGGCATAAGTACCAGAGCAATATAAAACCCCAGAGGCGGATCTTCTTTAAACAGAGTCCCTAAAAAGGCCAGCTGACGGTGTGTTAGCAATATTACCATATAAGGTGTTTTTTTCAATAAATCGGCCTTGGGGGGAGGGGACGGGGGGCTGGGTAGAGTGAATTATCATTAGAAAAATGTATGCAGAAGGACTTGAGTGGCAACACCCCTGGTGCTGGTGGATTTGTTCCTTTTATGCTGTACTCACATAAACAAGTCTCACACCAGGCCTTATAAGCTGCCCAGAGTGAGGCTAGATGCAGCCCAGCTCCTGGAGAGAGAACCATACCAAGAATGGCAGCGGGCCTCCTCCCTCCATTCCTCCGTTCCTCAGGCCCCGAAGCCTGCCGTTCTGGGTCAGCCTGGGGCACCTGTGCAGCGTCCCCACAGTGGATGCAATTGCGCCTGCTCCGGTGAAAGCCCAGGACAGCTAACAGCTGAAGGGACATGCCATCCACACCTGGAAAAGAAATCCCCTGTGTCCTATTTACCTGCTGCCCCTCACGCAAGCTTCTAAGCCCTGGGCTAATTCACTTGGGGTCCTAGGACACCTTAAGCTGCCCCTGGAACTTCACTGCCTCCTACTTTTCCTTTCCGGATTCCCTCTACCAGCCCCTAAGTACAGGGAGTTACAGACCAAGGGAGCTACCTTAGGGTTGACGCACAGCTAGCAAGACTCAGAAGCCTGTAGAACTTTCCACAGCCCTGTAGTTCTTGCTTTTTTTCTTTTTTTGTAATTCACGTACTCTTCCTGAGTGGCTATCGCCTCTCTCACTCCATCAGCTACCAGCTCTATGGCAACTACCTTCAATTCCACATTCCCACAGTCCCAATACCCTTCGCCCAGCCCAGACTAAAATTACTGACTGTCCGGCGGTCATCTCCACACAGAGGATGCTCCAAAACAACGCTGCCCTGCCGTTACTGTGGGCGAGCCTCCCTGGTTCCCACCCTCGGAGTCCTGCCCCTTGGCCCTTTAAGCTAGAACCCTGGAGTCAGTCTGACTCCTCGCTGCCCCTCACGCTCCACAAACGCCCGGGCAGCTTTCTTGGTGGCCCTCCACGTAGAAACACCTCCAGCTCTGCATCCTCCCTTCTGGCCCTTCTGGTACATCCCTGCTGGCCTTGTCCTGCTTCAGGCTCTGCTTGTGTCTGGCTCGGAGCCACCACGGCTCCCTGACCGGCCTTCCTGACTCTGTCCCATCTTCAAACCCAGTGGTTCCCCAAGTGTGTTCTCCAGGCCCATTGGTTGGAAGGCAGCAACATGACCTGGGACGGTGTCAGAAACACAGGTTCTTAGGCCTTTACTGGGACGGACTGAACCCCAAGTCCTGGGGGTCTGTAGGTCTCAGCTATCTGTGTTTTACAAAACTGCCCCACCCTGGTGCCCAGAATATCTACCCTTCGCCAGAAGAAAGATGCACTGGACACCTGCTGT